TCCTATCTCCTATCTCCTATCTCCTATCTCCTATCTCCTATCTCCTATCTCCTATCTCCTATCTCCTATCTCCTATCTCCTATCTCCTATCTCCTATCTCCTATCTCCTATCTCCTATCTCCTATCTCCTATCTCCTATCTCCTATCTCCTATCTCCTATCTCCTATCTCCTATCTCCTATCTCCTATCTCCTATCTCCTATCTCCTATCTCCTATCTCCTATCTCCTATCTCCTATCTCCTATCTCCTATCTCCTATCTCCTATCTCCTATCTCCTATCTCCTATCTCCTATCTCCTATCTCCTATCTCCTATCTCCTATCTCCTATCTCCTATCTCCTATCTCCCATCTCCTATCTCCTATCTCCTATCTCCTATCTCCTATCTCCTATCTCCTATCTCCTATCTCCTATCTCCTATCTCTATCTCTATCTCTATCTCTAGCTCTATCTCTATCTCCATCTCTATCTATATTTCTATCTCTATCTCTATCTCTATCTTACGCACTTCATCGGCAATCACGAGCTGGTTCGCGGTTAACAGAAAAGCGATTCGTTTTCATCCCCGTATTGTCCCCTTCCTCTTAGCTAATAACATAGGGAGCAATCCTAATGATGACGTTATGTTCGTTACATTAACCACGCAGTCTCGGGTGAGAGTAAATCGTTTTTTTTTTGTTTCGATGTAAATACACTTAAAAAATTTAACACCCTTATTTTGAAGATCGAAATGATCGAAAGAAAAGATCGATTTTTTTCGATTTTTTCATAGGCAAAGAATAGATTCAAAAATCGGAAATCGGCATGAAAAGATCGATCCAAGATTGCTTAATTCTAGTCGCTGGCATAAAAAAGTTCAGAAATGTCACGACATTTTTGCCACTTACCAGTTTGTTGTTGTGTGTCTTTACTATAGAGATTAGTTAATAGTTACGTTTAAGGGGCTGTTCATAAACTACGTAGGGGAGAGGGTTAACAATTATCCACGGACAATTCAAATTTAAAAAAGTGTGTATGGACAATTAATCATATTGTCGAGCAGTTTTGGAACGACCTTCTACCAGCGATTTTACGGAAATGAAACAATAAATTCCAGATTTTTCAAGCATATTACAATTAAGACCCTATTTTCTCTAGGTTATAGAAGAAAAAATATCATAATATTGTTCCACGTTAAAGTTCGAGTGGTAGGAAACGTCATTTCAAACTGCTCGAATGATGTGATCCATTGTCTACGCAGGGGGAGGGGGGTCAAGAATCCAAAAAAATGTCTATGTAGCTTATGAAAAGCTCCTAACGCACGCGCATTAGCGGGAGCAACGCTGTGTAAAGTTGTTTATTATTTTCCTTTGGCTAACCTAAAAAATGTATGAAAGTAGATCTGTCAAAATGAGTTTGACATCGATATGTTATGTATTTTCCTCGGATATTCACTAACACGCTCTCACATATCGCACCAATACAACCGGACGTGAACATCTCTATGGTCATTAGGAAAAGTATCAAATCGACAGTGAGCATGCATAAGGGCGTATACGCGGTGATCGATTCTCTTCATCGATTTTCTCTTTGCATTGCTACAGCTAAGTCTCGCTGAATATTTCAAATGGTCCTATCTGCTTTGATCGATTCTCTTCATCGACTTTCTCTTTTCATAACCACTGCTATGCAAACAGATTTCGCGCTAATTCTACCACACAGTTTGAAGTTTTTATCTAGCGTCCAAAACGTCAAATACAACTGGGAAAGGTTTTGCAGCTGAGTTATTGACGAAAGAGAAAGTCAATGAAGAGAATCGATCAATGCAGATAGGACCTTTTGAAATTTTTATCACTTAGTGAAACAATTTTCTATAATTTGTTCGATGCAGAGTTGTAACAGGTTGTAATGGCTATCAAAAGCAACAGCAAACGCACCGAGAAACGTTAATTCTAGAGAGTTATTAACAAATCGACGAAGAGAATCGATCATAGCGTTTACGCCCTAGTGCATGCTCACTAGACTGATGCAAAATTTGAAATTTTCGCTCCACAGTGCTCAAACGGTTCCAAATTGGGCCCTGATTAGCCTCCCAAAACTTGAACTCATTTAGTGAGAAACTGACTTGGCACAAACCATTTGAAGTTTATATGGAAATTACTATGGGAAAACCCAACATTCGATTTAAACCGAGGATAATATCAGTTGGTGCTTACCGCCATAAGATCATTCTAGTATTAGTTAAAGAGCCTGAATTCATAAAGAGACGACATCTTATTCATTTGACAGGTCTTCTGCTCGATTGAAATAAATTTTCCTATAACTTTGACAGATAATCGATTGTTCCAAATTTGACAAGTAGTCTCTTTATAAATTTAGGCTCTTTAGCAGTGATGGAATTCTCACCAAAATATCATTTTCGCTTGCGATACGTTTTCTCTTGGGAACTTTCCCTCACTAGTTTCACACTCCAATATTTCCTGAGCGAACTTTCTGGGATGAGAGAATGAGATATCGCGAACTTTTTTAACTCGAATCACCAACGCAAGGATACGAAAAATATCAGATCATTTTTTCTCTCTATCTCAGTACACCACATTCGTTCTTTAAAATTGCACTGCACATTTCACAAGGGAAAGATTATAGACAGAAAGCTATCCCGAGCAGTGCTGTAAATTCTAAAAATCATTTGAACATTTTTGATGAAAATGAGAAAAGTAGCTATTCGCTATCAAAGGGGACCTCCTCCGAATGGGTGATATCAGTTGCTTAGTCATTTGACGAAGGCATGGATCATTCTCATTTGAGAAACGCTATATATCATTCGATTGAGTGTAAACTACACACAAACGGAGCTCTGTTCGGGATCATTTTCCTGGATTTCTTCCATACTCCACTGGCGTATATCAAATGATACTGAGTGACTCAATTGACAGTGACAGTGAGCTTCGAATGAGAAAGGGGCTCTTTGTAGCTGAGAAAATTTCCTATGAGTACACAAGGCTAACTTAGTGGTAGATCATTATGGCGAAATTTAAAGACGAGGTGAACAAAATAATCACTTTTCCCATAGTAATACCTTTATAAATTTTAGATGGCCAGTGGAGAATGAGATCACAACCCAATAAGCTCAAATTTTGGGAGAATTATCTGAACCTGATTAAAAATCGATTGAGTTTAGTGAAGCAAAGCCGATATTTTGAACCACCCTAATAAGCATGTTCTCAATGCAGTAAGACTAATCAACAGAATGCTTGCTAGCTTACACTAAACATGTCTAAGCGCCAATTTCAGTGGTCTAACTGTACTTCGCACTAATAGCATAGTACTTCTTGTCGAAGAGTACAGCCACAAATGATGATTTCGTTAGCAAAGATTAGACTCTTGGTGAGTATCTACTATTAGCTGGTTGCTTTGAGAACTTAAACTATAAATAAATCCGGAAAACTTTGAGATTAGGGCGTAATTTCTTTTGTAAACACATACTTAATTCGCCGATTTCTCGTGAATTAAAGTTCAATCTAAAAAACTAACAACACAGACAGGTGGAGGAATGATTCATTTGGTATGGTATAGTTCGCTAGATTGTGCTTTGGTTCGTGAGAAATCGTTGAATGACGTGTTTGTTTACAAAAGCAATTACGCCCAAATCTCAAAGTTCTCTGGAAATGGTATTTAATGTGAAGGATGTGAAAAATATCGAAGAACGAGAAGAAAACAAACAGACACTCTCGCGTGATCATCCCCTACCTTTACTCGCTGGAAAAAAAAAGAACAAAGCTGAGGGGATATTTGGTTGGTTCAAATCACGAGTACGTGTGAAATGATGTGAGATGGAGAGAAGAAAGATCTTTCGCGATACGAAATGAAAATTTCTCTCGCTCTACGCTTTCATGAACTTTTTATCATCTCTCGTTCGCGAACTTTTTGTGAGAAGTTCCTTTGGGATTTATCTCTGCAATGAGCTGTGATAGAACTTTTTTTGAAAATGATTTTTCCAACACTGCTCTTTAGTATTAGTAATCCAAAAAAACCGTACATAATGCAATTTGTGACGTAGGTAATTGCATGTACGTACAGTGCTGTCATGCAGTTGTGTGTGCTCGATTACTTCACCCCGGTAATCCAGTTCATTGAGTTTTACACTCTCGAGGCAAGGTTACGGTAAAATGAAAGTAAGACTAACGCAAAAATTTAGCTGAATTAAAGACATACCTCAAAATATCTGTATATACTTTTACCCTATCAACAAATTTGTATAGGGGAAATGTATGTAATGTCGGCCTAAATGTCTCTAATTTGGGCCCATACATAAATGCAGCAATCGACTAAATTTTCAATAGCGGCTAAAAATATCCATTAGTACCGTCCCAATGAAGCGTTCATCTAGATAAAATTTGTTTAATAGTAGATTTTTAGCGATGGGTCCAATCTTAGATCCATAGGCCAACATTAGAGCCATTTCCCCTATCTGTATATACAGATTCTTGGCTTAAAAACTGCTAAAAAATCTGTATAAATACAGATTATTCTGTTTTTTTGGCATCCCTGCAACCCACTGGTGGGTCGCAACCCATAAGCGAACCCCACACATATTAGTATATTGATGCGAAGGGGAATAATATTGATGATGTGAATACAGAAATATTGTCAATATTGTATTGAATGTATTGACAATATTATTATTGTATCGTGTAGGGTCCACTATAAATTTAGAAACACTGGTTTAGACGATGAAATTAAGCGTTCAACTCACTTGAATTACGTATTGAACGATCAGAAAGTTGATGGACGTCCAACTTTTTTTATTCATTTTCAACTCACTCTATCCTCGACCACCAGATCAAGATCAAGGTGATGAGTTGAATCACCTTACTTGAACCGAGCTTTCGATTAAATAGATATCCCTTAAATAATTCCTCATTATTCGTATTTCAAAATATGTCCAACATATTCAAACAGAGCACTCGCAATCAACGAAAAGTTAGCTAAATATACCATAAATCCCCCAAGGGGCACTTACCAGATTTCAATCTCAGATTGTCTGGGATGGGAATGGCCAACGTAGCCGGATTGAACGGTGTATGGTACTGCTGGTGTTGGGGAGGCGGCGGTGTCGTCGAGGAAGGATATGAGTGTGAATAGGACTGCGTCTGCGGCTGAGGCACTGGTGGCGGAGGGGGTGGTGGAATTAGCATCGGCGGTGGAATATGTCCCAGGTGCTGGTGATACTGCTGAACCTCCGACAGCAGATCGTCCTGTTGACCTACGGCACTGATCATTCTGTTCAATGTTCACTTTTTTTATCTGTGTATACAATTTTCCACCCAACTGCGAATACAATTTAGCCAATAATTTCACATTTGTAACGACCGTAAATCAATTGATAATAAACAATCCGAACCTGGCCAGCCAGCCAGCCAGCCAATGCCAGCGGGTGGTTGATCCGGATAAACAACAACGACCACGACGACGAGCACTACCCGATCGCGATCCGGCCAATCGATGGACTGACCGACTATTTCTGGGCTGGACCACTCTCACACCACTACTGTTCTCGATCGTTGTCCAGAGCCAGACTGCTCCCGGCCAAACGGTGCAAATATTTTGACAACTCCTCCAATCCCATCCAGAGTATTGGTAATGCGTGACGGAGCACGATCGTTTGGATCCACGTTTGTTTATGGCGAATCCTTCGATGGGATCGTGCAAAATTCAATTTTCAGAAGACGACCGTCATCGGCGATGATAGCGAGTGAGAGAGAGACAGTGTCGGTATGCGCGTAAATGACGGACTTTGGCAGGCGAGAACCGTTTTGAGCACGCGTCCGGTGGCAACTAAACGCGCCAGCAGCCAAAGAGCCGTTAGATCTCCGCGTCCAGGGAGAACGAGAGCAGGGCAAGTAGTTTTTGGCCAGCAAGCGCAAATATAAACATCCGAGAAATGTGCGATTATGCCATGGTTGGTCGGTCGGTCGGTCGGTCGGTCGAGACGAGGTTTGAAATTCATATTCGAGACCGGTGTGGGACAGTGCGGCGAGCATAACGCGATAGAGCTCCTTCGTACACAGATTTTTGAGCCAACTGTCAGACCGATTGAGCCGATTTACCACCAGGTCGAACGGAAGCTGAACACTTTTCGCTCTTGGACGCTCTCCGCTCGTGCAACCTCGCTGCACCGAACACTTTGTAGCGTGCTCTTGCGCCGTGAGCTCATCGCTACCATAATTTCCAGTGGCTTTTCTGAATGAGTTCACCGAAACGAGGGGAGCAACGTTAATCTAGTTCAAACAACACACAGACAGGTCGGAGATGTTTACGCGTTCTCGAAAATCTTCAATCAGAACGCATGTGGCCAATGGTCCGGCACGTCTGAGTAGTTCATTCCGAGCTCGTTAGAAGGATGGACGAAACTGGCGGGCGGTGCGTGGAGGTGGCCACCAGCATTTCCATTAATTCTCTTGTTATTCGATGTTTTTTGAGGTTTCGACGAGGTGGATTTGCCACAGCTGTTTTGGCCAACTTGAATTTGTGGTGGCTGGGCATCACGCACGTGCACGGTCCGGCATCAAGCCTGCATGCGAGGGAGTCAGTTTTTGTTTGGACGCAACGGATTCTGAGATCGATCGTTTGGAGAAAATTGAGTTCGGATGTGGTTTTGGATCGTGCTTCGCTCGGTTGCTTACATTAGCGAGTAATTTCTAGTAATCATGTGTTAATGTCGATTCACCGATGCTCAATGGCGACTGGAGTGAGTCAGGTTTTGGAGAGATACTTTCGGAGCTGGGAGGAAATTTATTATATTTACTTATGATTGGTTTCAGAAAGGCTGAGTCGGGATAGATGGTACTGGATGTAGAAGATTTATGTTTTAATTTAACCTAGTTAGGTGAAAATCCGTAGATTTTGTAGTTTCCAACTTTACAAAAAAAAGATAACAGGTTGTGAGATTTGAGTACTTCTCCAAGCTACTTACACCTACATGATACATCGTTCTTCAGGACGCCGTTTGCCCGAAAGCAAGCTCTCATGAACTTGATTCAACTAGAGTATATGTATAAGAGTCAGCGTTGTCAGATATACCGATTTATCGGTATTTATACCGATTTCCAAACTAGATACCGATACACAGATAAGGTTCCTCAGAATACCGATTTTAAGATTTTATACCGATTTATACCGTTTTTTATTACTAATCAAAATTATTATTGCCTGCCCGCGCTCGAATTTCGGAGATATTTTTTGTAAGAGACTTTTATCTTTTTGAATACCTCATATTTTTTTAGCCTTCAAAATTCTATACAATCATCTCTAAAGATGCCTTATGCTTCATACTCCCTCGACTAATGTTTTCATTTCCTCACCGTTTTTGGCTGCCCATCAATCGAGAAATAGTCGATGGCTCTTTCCGGTAATTTTAAACATTATTTAACTTCCGGAAGTTTTTATTCATTTTTAAACTTCCTGAAGTTTCAACGGATCCACACTAGCTGCATGCACATTTAAGAAGTTCTGAAACTTCAGAAAAGTCCAGGCGTTTGTGTAAGTTTCGATAAATTAAAGACCGTTTCATTAACTTCTGTTAAAATTCGAAAACCCGGAATTTTCAGAAAAGTCCAGCGAACTCCAGTGAACTTAGGGAAACATCATACATATTTTGGAAACTTCACGAGTCCAAAGAAATTTAATGGCTTTCAGGAACTTTAGTGAAGCTCAGAGAACATCAGGACAGATCAATTAATTTCAATGTAATTGCTGAAATTATAAAGGAGTTCCGAGAAACTCAGGCAATTCCCGAAAACTTCAGCAATGTCCTGCAAATTAAGGAAACGTAAGGAAAGTTACATGGACATTAGATCATTGTGAGAACATTTTATGGGAAGTTCTATGCTTTTTAATGGCAGTGTCGATAACTTTTAAAAATTAAAAATTTGGGAAGATCAGAGAACTTCAATGTTGATGTTACAATAGATTCCAGAAAATTATGAGAGCACTTAAAGATTTCGTAATCTTCAAGAAAGTCCAGAGATCTTCTAAGATGATTCGTGATATTCCGGTAGTCTTATTATAATCAGGGATGTTCCGAGCGCTAAGAGGATGGCCATAAAACTCCAAAACATCCACTAATTTCAGGAAAATTACTTGTAAGGAATTTCGAGGAATTATGGAATATTCCTAAGTGCATTTAAGGAATGTTCTGAAAACTTCAGGAAAATTTCGGAGTCTTCAGGGATGTTTTTTTTATATCAGGAAAATTTTCTGGATCATTAGAACATCCTCCAGGAATCTCTTTCTTCCGGAATTATGTCCTTGTTTCTTTCGACTGTTCCGTAAGCGCTCTGGCTACCGATTTTCTTCAGATGTTTCTTCCAATCTACATTAGGAAGTTTCTGCCAGCGTCTCCAGAAAGTTTATTTCGTCTTCTTAAGGAAGTTCAATTAGTTCTCCCAGCAATTTCTTTCGTCTTCTTCTGGAAGTTTTGGTTTTTTTGTTCGACTTCTATTGGAAGGCTTTTCCGAGCTTCTTCTGTATTTCTCTGGAAATGGCTACTTCTGGAAATTTACTTCCGGTTTCCGAAACTTTTTTGGCTTCCTTTGGATGTTACATCCGATTTTTTCCGATAGTTTATTTAAATTTTCGCCACAAGTTTCTCAATTCGTGTCTCGGAAGTGTCCCAGAGGTTTTTCCAGCTTTTCTCTAACTTTATCCAGGAGAGCTTCGTTCGTCTTTCTCTTGATGTTTTTTCAGCTCCATTCAGAAGCTAATTCAAACATTCCCCGGAGTTTTCTTCCGATCATAGTTCAAAGGCTAAAATTTTGCTTTGGTTAAAGGCTTTCTCAGTCTTAAAACACTGCAAAGACTACGATGTAATCTGCCCGACATTTCGGCCATAGGTTGTGCCTTTTTTCAAGGGAAAATATTGTTTGTTGTTATTGTCAATAGTTTAGTCGTTGTTGTGGCTGATTTTCCATATTTTTGATTCATTTAATGATATTTAATTGAAAAAACACTACTTAGTCACAACTTTGACCAGAACTTGAGTAAAACTATATATTTTTTTAAATTAAATTAAAAAATTAAAGAGTGTTTTAAGACTGAGAAAGCCGTCAAACAAAGCAATTCCCTTCAAATCTCAGTCGTCACCATCGTTAAAATTGTCGCTTTCAAAAACGGCAAAAAATATAAAATTAAATAAATAGTACACACAAACAACAAAAATTGTATCAATAAAAATAATGCATTTTTGACTTGAAAGTGTCCCTAAATTCCTTGTTTCAACAATGAAAATATTCGAAATAAAAGTCAGTTTTTCAAATTGAATGTTTTTCTTTCACTTTTGACCCGTGATTTTAAAAGTGCATAGTTTTAAAACAAAAATTGTACAACTGTCAAAAATACCCCTTCATCGATGTTTTTACTGGCTGCACTGAAATCTCATTTGCCGCCTTTTCCGTTAGTCTGGCTGCTGTGAATATGACATCCAGCTCAGAAGTAGCAACTCTAGTGATTCTTCCCATTCAGCATCTTTTCTTCAATGGATATTCCAGCATTATTTGCTGGATCTACGAAGTGATCCAAGGGCAATTGACATTCCAAATGGTAAGTTCGATATTTTCAATGTTATAGTTTCGGATTTTTAGATTCTTTTTTCTAGCAGACTACGCAATTTGCCAGGACAACCTGTTGAAGTATCAAACCCTTTGGAAGCGCTATGGTACCTCTGCCTTCATTGTAAAAGTTGGCCTCCTAGCAGCAGGAGCAATTTTTATATCTTTCGTTGCATAACGTTAAATTAATGTTGTAAACCAGAATAAAAATAAATAAATAAGTAAATAATTTTTGAGCATTTTTGCTTGAAATCCAAACGATTGTTTTGAATATAAAATGAAAGATTAAGTAATTTTGTTAAAAATCTTCGTTATCAATTTCAAAATATTGTGTTCTTCTATTCAAAATAGCACTTATTGTTTTAATAATATCTCATGTTCAATCCAAAAGTTTGTTTTGAAATAACACGAATCCGTTTTTATTTCCAACACTGCCAAACTTTTGATTTGACAGTAGTACAATTAATTTTGATAGTTTCAACTTTTAAAAGCAGTGAGCAGGCAACTTTTGATTTGACGGTTGGCTGATTTTCGTATTGAAAGCTTACCGCTTTCTACCAAAAAGAACCAACGCAAACTTTTAATTCTACCAACGGATTTTTTAATTTTAGCAATGATTATTTTTTGTGTGTACATACCGAAAATACCGATTTTTTAATACTTTTGATACCGACAAGCTTTAAAACAATCTGGCAACGCTGATAAGAGTCACGTCAAGAGAAAAATAGTGGAACTAGCAACACGGTTTTTGAAAGATTCCCTTCCCTTTCACTTGACAACAGAGACTTCTGCATCAACCGAGGGGTGCGACACATCTAAATCCCAATTTAAGATGGTCAAAAAATCTCACGCTAGCGAATCAATCCACAATTTTTTTTTTTTTTTTCATCTCTTGCATCTAAATTCATCTACTCACATCGCTCTCCACCTTT